GGTAAAGATACTCGGTGATTCTTCTAGTGATGCGGAGATTACTGTATGATTCGAAGTAATTGGAGAAGTTTAAGCACGATTGCAAGACTTCTTTTCAATAAAAGCATAACGTAAAAGTGTTATCGTCTTTTGCAAAGTGATCAGAAAAAAATTACTTATAAATTACCTTCGTAAACATTTCAAAAGTATTTGCATAAGTAACTAAAAAAGTTGTTGGAAAGCTGAATTAAATGTCTCAAAAAATACAGATTACAACAGAATACTTTAATAAAAATTATATACAGGCCCTATATATTTTTTTTCACATTTCTAGCGTATAACCTTCTCAATATATATTCACTTATTTTGTTTTTATTACTTAAATAGAATTACTAGTGAACGAGTGAAATGTTTATCGATTATTTCTGTAACTTCATAAATATTCTAAGCTTTTAGTTTATTTTTAAAGGTAAAAAGCTCTTCTTTAACTATTCTTATCGTCTTTTAAATCCCTTTTTAATGAGTTGCTGTATTTTTTGTTCTTATTCTAGCAGCTAAACGTGCTCCACTTAACACACACAATACATTAGTTTCTTCCACCTTAACCATTAAAGGGATAAAAATCGAAAAAATTGAGTTTATATATGATCTGTATAGGGATGTTTGATGATACTAAACGTTCGAAAATATATAAAATCATCAATTTAAACCCTTCAGGATGCTACTAGATCGTGATAAATCTACCAAGTTATTTGTAGCAACATCTTGATACTCCCTGGTGATGTAAGGTAGTAAGGTAATGTAACTCAACACTGTCTACGTCGTTTCTCATCACTCGTATTAGAGTACAGTTTAGTATTTAACTAGTTAACACCATTACGATGAGAAATATATTTTGGAAAAATCGAATCTGGAGTGATCGAAAGATTCTCGTGTTGAATCTATTGGCACGAGGGAGGTTTACTTGCCGGAAGTAGTTAACCATTGTCGTTGTTTATACCTCCCGATTCGTTAGAAAAATTTGTAACACGGAACGTTCGTCTCAAAGAGAATGTTATGGGGTGAGGCGGGGATTTAAGTCGGCAGAAGACGGATTCCCTTTGTTAAATTCGACGTATCTCGGCGCCATACATACAAAGTCTCGCTTAATGAGGCGAAAAACTAGTGGAGAGGCGGATAAAGTCAACAAAGTCGACATAAGGCGAATGATGTAATCGGTCGACGCGTGCTCGTGCATTAAAGATGCATCTCGTCCCCTTCACCAAGAGATGAATGTCCTTTTTTTTGATACCATCGTTGTGGGCTATTCAGTTAAAACAAGCACCGGTACAATAATTTCCAACAGTCGTGATTAATAATAAGGAGAAGGAAGTCGAACACACTACTGTTTATCCCGTATATTCCTTCTTGTGTCTATGGTTATAAAAAGAATTAAGACAAGCCAATCAAGAATCTCAAACCTTTAATTATAGCTTATGAAAAACATTCAGACAAATGTACGTCTCTACATAAAACTTAAAATGCCAGCGCAGGAGAACGAGGACACTTTGGTTAAGAGGGAAGAGAGTCGATTTGACAGAAGTTTTACGTGAATAAAAACACAAATACCATTGGTTTATTTGCCATCGCCTATAATTTGTTAAGCTTTTGGCTTTTTTTTGTCTTATTTCTTTTTTATTCTTGCTTTACCTGAATTTTTCCCATTGTTTTTCTAGTGGGCGGTCTTCCTGCTCCTCCGGCTCGTAGAAGCGAGAAAGTCCGGTCTCGTTCAATTCAGATTTTTCAACAAACATGTTCAATATTTGGACGATTTCCTTTGCTTTTCTCCTTTCTCTTATCGTTCCGCTACCTTTTCCACTATGTAGCTTCTAGCGCCATTTCTTCCCTTCCGGAAAAATCCTCACTCATCTCTAGGGAAGGATACCGTTTCACTCTAATGTAATTTAAAAGGTGTCTGTTCTATATCAGAAATCGTTGGATGACAGAAAAGCGATGACGTCTCCTTTCGACGGTCTGTTTACAGTCTATATCGATTCGATTCGATCGGTTTATACTACTCGACCATTTCCCAACCTCTTCACTTATCCTCTCTTTTAGCATTGAGGAAGAGCGGAAGGGTAGGTCGCGATCTACCTGTTAAGTAATACCACTGGAAAAAAGATTCGTCTTTATGTATCCATTTTTTTTTTTATTTACGATATCAGTTAGGATCTACGGCGAGATCGGTAAAGGACGATTACACTGCGGTGGAGATGGTTTACCAGTTTCACTACCCTGCAAATGTAGCGTGATCCACGAGAGCTGAGGCTTCTAGGATAGAGAAGATAGGCAAAGTTATAGAGGAGGCGCAAGAGCATCGAAACAAAGAGGAGGAAACAGAAGATTTACGGTATTTACTCGAGACTTTTATGAGTCGTTGTAGTCGTCCGCTCGAGTCATGGAATGACCTTAAGTAGCGGTAAAGAAAATCGTCGAAGAATTATACGCGTTTAAAGACTAGGCGTAAACAGCCCATCTGTATGCGTCGTCGTTCTTTCTATACGTCGCTTCGACACATCGCCGTTCTCCTCCCCTCTCTTCCATTTGCATAACTCCATTTTCTTCTCTCACATCTTCAAAATTACGCTAGCCACTCCGGGGTAGAGTGACGTAATTATTCCTCCGATAGCTCGGTAATAAAATAGCCCCGCTACAATATTTAACAGGAAAATAGAATATCTCGTGTTCCTTCTCCAACACTCTTCTGAAGATAAATTTAACGAAAAACTTCGATTTGCATTGGATGAAGTTCGTTATCGTCACCTTATAAACTTACCACGAATGAATATATCTCACAGTGTATAAATGTTAGATTACATTTTTTTGGTATGGAAAGACGGTTGCCAAAGGCTATTTCGTGCACGCTTCCTACACAACAACTAAGGATATAAACATTATCCTTAAGTTTTGTTCACCTAAAGTTAGACAAGAACCTTCCTCTTGCGGTCGAGCATCACTTAAATCTCATCACAAAACAAACAATCTTTACTGTTAATAACAGTTTTCAGTTCCTTTATCTTATTTCTCTTGGAGATAACTCCTTTGTTCGAAAATAGATTTTTATCAATCATAGAAGTCGCAGGATCCTCCTCTCCCTTTCCGAAAGACGATCCGGAGAAGGGTCGACCTCACTCAAATAAGAATCGAGTCATTCATCGTCTAATCAAAAGAGGGTTATCGGATGTCTATCCGGGCTGGATTTAGATGGGGTGGAAGGTAAGGCGATCCTTTCGGTGAGGGTATTTCCATCAGAATCTGGGAAAATGGAGGAGCGAGGGATACACCGAGGTTTGGCAGCTTCCAGAAACAACGTCACATAATTATTGGACGGGATGAGATGCGGTAATTGATAGGGTAGTGGGAGAAAAGGGCGAATCTGTCGCCCGTCCGGGAATTTATCGCAGTATTTGGCATGGAAAAGATTGCTGTCGATCGATAGGGGAGAGAGTCGAGAAGCTAACCGACTTGTCGTCTGCTTCAAAAACACAGGGATGCGGGATGATAAAAAACGTAAATGTGGAATTTCCATTCTAAACACTCTTTTCTACTTCCTAATACGTCTTTGAAAGTTGATCCAGTTGGCCTTATTTTCCGAATTCACGAAGGACTTTATCCTTTAAATATACTGTCCACATTAGAAGAAAGTTGTTTCTTCTTTATGTAAGCCTGTTGAGTCTACAAACGTTTAAAACACTTCTATTATATATTCGTTTTAAACTTAATATACGTAAATTTTTTTGCAATTTTATTTATTTAATATTGAGAAATTATTCTCTTGTAGTGCTGGAGAATAATTTCTATATATTACTTTTCACTGAGCGTATAAAATGAATCAATAAGAAGAGCAACTATTATTTGCTTTCTTTCTTCTATTCATAAAATTGCTAGAGATTGGTCTATAAACTGATTCAGAATTACGTTTAATATCCGTAATTTGTTTATCTCAGATATTAATTTAAATAACGCTCTTAGAGAGAGGGAAGAGAGAGAGATTAAAAGAGAAGTTAACTGTACTTCACCCCCTGAAGATTGACAGAAAAGAAAATTTTCTATAGAACGTAACAAGGAATACACACTTTTATACTTTTGACATATTTGGCAAACAGTTTGACAGATTTTTCCTTCCATGTTTTCTTAATTCGGTGTGGCTTCTCCTGGTCGAAGGAATTCTAGATTACACGAGGTTTGTGATTGGTATAAATTCTTACCGTAGTTTTTAACTCTTGGGGTATTTCTATTTACTAAATGACACATTACTATATCAAATAATGAATATAAAATATAGAAGATATATTGCGTATAAGATGTTAAGTTATTCGAATAGAGGAGGATGAATCGGACTTGGAAATGCATTTAAGATAATCATCATTAGAATGTCATAAAGAAAGACGCGGTTTAAAGATGTTTACTTGGAAACTCGTTAATTAAATTCGTTGTTCCAGCCGCTAATTTATTGCGGAAGTAATTGCGGTTCACCTTGCCATTGCCGCTAATGGGCCTCACCTCTTTTTTGTAATTGCTAAGAAGCGTGGCCAAAGAGATTCCATGCCAAAAACCATAAAAATGTAAGAAAAAAAGAATCAAAAGAGGAAGTAATTCTTCTCTATTCTATTTGTGTTCGTTGCGGTCAATCGGGTACTTTAAGTAAAGACATGTTCTCGATATATAAGTGGCGATTTTTTCTTGTGTCTTTCTATTGGAGAATTGCTGCTCTCTTCAGCTCGAAGTTTAGTCATTGTCTAAACTCTCTTATCGCTTTGTCATCTCTTTACAACACTGCAATCTCGTAGAGTTGTGTACTGCAAAGATATTTCCGTATTCTTCTTTAATTTTTTTTATCGTTAAGAAAGCAATCTTCTTCTTTAAATGATAGTATCTGCATACACGAGAATTTTCAATAAACTTCAGAAGAATATCAATTCCTAAGTGATGTATACTTTCTTAATAGAATAACTTAAGAGGTTTTGGATATAAACACGGGTTTTAAGTGATTTTTTTATTATTTAACTCCATAGCAACATATGTAATAACCAGTGTTTTCACTTAGTACTTGATGTACTGGAAGAGCTCGCACTGTAAAGAGAACTTTGAGAACGTCTTAGATGATTGAAACGAGTACAGAAGTTCGAATTCCCTGTTCTTTTCTACTATAGAATAATAGGGATACGCATCAATGTATACAGAATACAAGAATATCGATGTTTCTGATGGTGCTCTGACCATTCCATTACCCATTCCATCGATTTGTTCGTCTGGAGAACCGAAGAGTTCGTACTAACAATAAAAATTTCGTTTCTTCTAAAATTTTATTGCTGTAGAACCGAAAGAGGATATTGTATTTGTAGATCACTCGAGACTGTTCTTCCGGAAATCGACCGTCGAGAGAGATTTTAATTTCCACTTGTCGTGAATTTCTTGGTTGTTTTCAACATAAATTTTCTATTTTGTCCACTTGGAAAAGAAAATAATAATCGATGAGATGTTATTAACTGCTTCAACAACGTGAAAACAAGCAAAAACATTATAATGTGAATTCCTAAATACACTTTTTCAATACAATATCGAGCTTATGTTGCAGGTATTGCACGCTAAAATGTCAACATAATTGTAAGAAATGAATAAAGAAGTGGCATAAATAGGCTATGATTGAAACATAAATCACTCATAAGTCGAGATAATGTACTCTTTACGTCAATTATATACTTATTCGTTATAAAATTAGTCTGACATCAAAATGAAGTGTAATTATTCTGATAAAATGAATAGACCCCATGAGAAAATATAGTAATTATAAAATTTAAACGTTAGATTCGAGTCAGCCTAACAAATTCCTCAGGGTACTATCATCGAAGGGCTTATATAAGGGCCTACATTACATATACGCTTCTATTTCGATTCGAATCCAGGCCTCGTCGGTGATCGAGAAAGACACTTCTAAAAGGGCATAAAAATTATGACCACGTTTTTAAATTTGTTTAATATTATACGATTATAATTCACAATTTTCGAAGAGAGTCAATTTATATTCTTCTCTCGCTTCAAAAATTACAAAAAATGTATTCTAAATATTCACACCATGTATAATTTATGAACTTTTAACTTCATTTTGAAACTCTTTTCTTTTATTAGTTTAACGATTTTTAAGATTTTTAAATTGATTTAAGAAAATCTTACATTGTTCTGGACGTTACATTGTTGTAATATTAAAAGACATATGCTAATCACCCCTTTCTGCACTACATATATAACGTTAATTAAGTAAAAGAATCTAGAATTTACGTTGATCTCTTTCACCAAATATGTTTACAATTGATTTCTGTATATAAAAGTCGTATTTTCTTTCTAATAAGTATAAAACAAGACAGTTATTTAATCGTTTCGTGTAAAATTTGCCCTATACATCTTGTACTTTTTCTGTTATCTTTGATAAGAATCGTCGTGTCAACGAATTCTTTAAACTGAAATCTTGTTCAGTTTCTTATATCTTATCTCTCCTGCACTTGATCTTCGTGTGTTAATTTTAAGATTAAAAAAATATATAAACAATAGCTGATGGCTCAGATATTGTTTCTTCATATAAAATTAAAGAAGGACAATTTAATAATGATTAATATATATAAAGTAAAGAGTTCTGAATAGGAATTAATGAGGTCAAATGTCGTAAGTTTGATATATAAAAAGAATAAAGTCCGTTCCTTTTGAAAAGTTTGAAGTTTTTTTTTTTATTTGTTATATATTGTATACAATAGCTTGTCACTGACTTGTATATCATCTCGAAGCTAGTCAAATCCTATTTGGAACATCCTATTTTTTGATATACAGACGTATATACAATAATGATGAAATCAAAATATGTCAAAAGCTAGATATTGCTTTTTTGTGCAAACAATATTTTCTCGATATAACTTACTATACGCTACTCTTACTTTGAAAGAAACTAAAATATACAGTAGAGTTTAGATTTGTTGTGGCTCTGAGTTATAACATTGAGAACTCATCCTTCCCTCTTCACCAACGAATAATAAATTTAAAAACATAAGATACTACATTGTACATACCTCGTAGAGTTAGACAATAAGCTGTACTTGGTTAACTTAAGCATAAATCCGGTCCTATCGAAATTTTTGACACTAATATGCATAGAATAACTACACAGAGACATATATTAGAAGTTCACTTATCTCTTCTTAATAGTGCCTCAAATACCCCCCTATAACACTGTTGACAGTTCCGTATTATATGAATTCCATGTTGTACAAGTCACTTAGATTTTACAAATATGTGAGTTATTCACAGCCTGGCACAAGTATTTGTAAAATCTAAGTGACTCGTACAACATGGAATTCATATAACACGGAATTATCAACAGTGTTATAAGGGGGTCTACTGTATTATATATATGGTCTATCTAAGTAGATAATAAATACAAATACTAAGGGTATAGATATTAAGGTATATATATATTTTTTTCTTTAATGGATCTTCCGTATTCTACAGATCTATCAAAAAGTATCTATATCAATTTACAAAGTTCTTAGACTTGATATTGATACGGTTGTTTACGAGAAATTCCCTTGCTTTTCGTTTTGTATCGTGATTTAAAGATTCTAAATTATCCATTTTAAATTCTTCTAAAAGAAAATTTTAAAAAGAAAAGTATAGTAGAAATACCCGTTTTTTTATATTCCCTTTTACTTACCAAACTATAACTTTCCATTGACTAAATGTAAGTCTAATTGCATTCTACTCGTCTATTTGAGAGGAACAGCTGGAGTGTGTTGATCGGAGAGGGTTTTAATGCCATTTTTAAACTGTCCGATTATAAGACGAAGAGGTAGAGAATCGGCAGCTGGTCAGATTGGTAGCCAGATCGATGATCCAAGATGGGAAAATGAACAATTCTGGTTTCTATCTCCTTCTGATAAAATAGAAAAATAATAATAAAATAAAAAAGAATCTATCTTTGGTCAATCCGAAAGAGAAGAGTAAAATTTTTCACGGAATATTTTTCGCAACTGCACTCAATTTTTAGGAGTTAAAACATCTTCGACTTCATCACCCGGAAGAGCGATTGTTAATCATAATACTTAATATTTATTGTCTTAGAATTAAACTTGTTAAAATTGATAAAAATTTGACAATAAAACATTCCTAAAACTGTTTCCTCTTACATACCAGGATCCGGTTAGGGATTTTAATGTCTATTAAAACTCCCTAACACACACACAAAATTGGAATGAAGTTTCATGAATGTGTAGTGACGTTAATAAAGAAGGATAAAGTAATATAAATTACATAATATTACTTTTGTGTAATAGAATATTTTCATTTACTTAACTGAATTTGTTTGGCATCCTCCCAAACACCCGAACGACACGGGAAACGAAATTCGACTGTGTTATCCTCGATCATTTAGAATGATTTCAATGTATAAGATCCTCCAAAATACCCTTTTAAAAATTAGATTTTTCAGAACACACTAAAAACACTCAAGAAAGTCTAAAAACTTTTTTTGTGAAATAAAATAAACAACGAGATAATCGTTAAAATAATAATTTATCTTATTTTAAGCACGTATTCGTGTATACATTTTTGTTTCCAGTATTGTAAAATGATACAACTCACGACTCAAACATTTAACTCGTGTGCATTGGAAAATAAAAAAAAAACGTTTTGAATGACGTTTTTCCTGCTGCACTTTGCTGCATACAGATTTTGACAACAGTCGTTTTTCATACTTTCTAAACAAAACAAATCTTCACACTCCGCCGAAATATTGTCATGACATCGTAAAAAATCACCCTCTGTTAGAAATTCGACGCGTTACACTTGCATATTCAATTGTATCTCTCATACACNTCTGTAAAGACGTTTTCTTTAACGGCTTAATCGTTCTTCCACAGATTGTTCGGCGTAACCGGTAGCTGGAAGTAAGGGTAAATTCGGTAACGTACATTAATATGACACGTAACTGGAGAGTTACGTAATGAAATTTAAGTAAATCAGTTTAATTTCGATTTTGGCTATATGATTTATCTCGTAACTGCCCCGAGGAAAATATCGTAGAAGATGTAATTACACTATTAATTTCGGGTATTCGTAACAATACGCTGTTGAAATCATTTTTGCGAGTGCACCGATTAATTATTTAATATATAAATACTTTAAAATATTATATATATATATATATATACGTGGCTAGGATGAGGAGTTTACAAATATTTGACGTGTCTTCAGGCCAGTGCAATTTGTAGATAAACAAAAATTCTAAAGATTTTCAGGAATTTTAAACACTTCTTATATAACGTTCTCGTTTTCCTGGAAATCCGGATGCACAGTCGATAAAAATAAACTGTGCTTAATAAAATGAGGTGAATGCGATGCTGCTGACTTTCTCAACAAGAAAAAAAAAAGAAGAAGAAGCGATTTCTAAACATCAAGCTTCTTGCATGTTTTTTAATAAGAGATATTTACAGCTTCAGGCTTTCTTTCGTCTGAAGAAAAGGAGGATCGAAATAGCTACTATTGGAGAATTTGTTTTTGGTGTTAGATTCATTCTGGCATAAAATATCACTTTCTTTTTTACAAATCGACGGGTTTTTTTTTAATATTTTTCTAGAGATAAACGTGGTCTCTCACCCTCTCTCGGCTCTGGTTGATAAATGATAAAAAACATGCTCCTTACAGATTCTCTCTCGCCCCTTTTATTTTTTTAATTATTAAGTCTGGAAATCTTCCTAATTCCGGATAAAGCACCGAAGACGTCGAAAACAATAAAATTTACACATTTTATTAAAGTAGTGACATTTTTAATCAGTATATTGCTATTTTTAATCGTTTATAACGGAATTTTTGAATCTGTTGCAAATGAAAATGACTTATATGTCGTTTTTACCGATGCCAATGGCGTATTAAATTTAATTAAAAACATACGTCTATTGTTACTTCACTGAAGGTGGTATTTTCGGAAAGGTATCGAGAATAACACATCGGTTGCTGGAAAGACTCGTTCTCCATTGGATTAGTGAGATGTAAGCCATGTTTGTAAAGCATCTCTCGATAGGATATGACAGCGAGAAGAAGAAAAAAAGACGTTATATCATATTTATTTGTATATTCCCTTCTTAAAAAAAAAAAAGTCTTTCTAGAGTCGAGTAACCCACTTTTCTTTCTTTCTCAACAGAGAAACAATTTTTTAGTTGATTTCAATATTCAAAAAAGATCTTTTGACAATTATTTGGATACCGAAACATGCATTTTTATTATGGAATGTGTATGTAATATTATAAAAAAAAAAAGTCTATAATGGCTTCTATCTTCTCTTACTTTTTCATTTTTCTTAAGAAAATGTAAGATAAATCTTTTGAGATAAAATATTATAATACATTTTTTAGTATCCTTACGCCTACAACAATATCCTTCTTTATTTATTTATTGAAAAATCATTATATGCAAATTTCATTGTTCTTTTCTACATTGTTTATACTCCTATTTACATATGTGGTATTATATCTTATTTAATATTGAAAATATTAAATAAAATCAGTAAAAAGTAGACTTATTCAAGTGATAAGTGTATAATTTCATAATAGAAAGGTATGTAAAAGTGTATGAGCATTTAAAGGCTTTATATATCTACTTTATATACTTACTAGCATATAGGATATGCCCTTAAAAGAGCAATAAGGGTAAATATTAGAAGTGTGAAGGGGATGAAATCAGGTCCAGGTTTCATGGTAGTCTGTTTTTCCTGTGGAATCCTAGAGATTTACTAGGAAATATTTGGAGCAGATCAGTCGAAAGGTTAAGTGTATAAAGAACAAACAGACATTCTGTTTTATATAATTATAAGTGTTTTGTTATAAAGAACTGATCATGCATATACAAGTCGACCCCCCTATAACACTGTTGATAATTCCGTTTTATATGAATTCCATGTTGTACGAGTCACTTAGATTTTACAAATACGTGTGCCTGGCTGTGAACGGCTCACGTATTTATAAAATCTAAATGACTCGTACAACATGGAATTCATATAAAACGGAATTATCAACAGTGTTATAGGGGGGTCGACTTGTATATGCATGATCAGTTCTTTATAACAAAACACTTATAATTATATAAAACAGAATGTTTGTTTGTTCTTTATACACTTAACCTTTCGACTGATCTGCTCCAAATATTTCCTAGTAAATCTCTAGGATTCCACAGGAAAAACAGACTACCATGAAACCTGGACCTGATTTCATCCCCTTCACACTTCTAATATTTACCCTTATTGCTCTTTTAAGGGCATATCCTATATGCTAGTAAGTATATAAAGTAGATATATAAAGCCTTTAAATGCTCATACACTTTTACATACCTTTCTATTATGAAATTATACACTTATCACTTGAATAAGTCTACTTTTTACTGATTTTATTTAATATTTTCAATATTAAATAAGATATAATACCACATATGTAAATAGGAGTATAAACAATGTAGAAAAGAACAATGAAATTTGCATATAATGATTTTTCAATAAATAAATAAAGAAGGATATTGTTGTAGGCGTAAGGATACTAAAAAATGTATTATAATATTTTATCTCAAAAGATTTATCTTACATTTTCTTAAGAAAAATGAAAAAGTAAGAGAAGATAGAAGCCATTATAGACTTTTTTTTTTTATAATATTACATACACATTCCATAATAAAAATGCATGTTTCGGTATCCAAATAATTGTCAAAAGATCTTTTTTGAATATTGAAATCAACTAAAAAATTGTTTCTCTGTTGAGAAAGAAAGAAAAGTGGGTTACTCGACTCTAGAAAGACTTTTTTTTTTTTAAGAAGGGAATATACAAATAAATATGATATAACGTCTTTTTTTCTTCTTCTCGCTGTCATATCCTATCGAGAGATGCTTTACAAACATGGCTTACATCTCACTAATCCAATGGAGAACGAGTCTTTCCAGCAACCGATGTGTTATTCTCGATACCTTTCCGAAAATACCACCTTCAGTGAAGTAACAATAGACGTATGTTTTTAATTAAATTTAATACGCCATTGGCATCGGTAAAAACGACATATAAGTCATTTTCATTTGCAACAGATTCAAAAATTCCGTTATAAACGATTAAAAATAGCAATATACTGATTAAAAATGTCACTACTTTAATAAAATGTGTAAATTTTATTGTTTTCGACGTCTTCGGTGCTTTATCCGGAATTAGGAAGATTTCCAGACTTAATAATTAAAAAAATAAAAGGGGCGAGAGAGAATCTGTAAGGAGCATGTTTTTTATCATTTATCAACCAGAGCCGAGAGAGGGTGAGAGACCACGTTTATCTCTAGAAAAATATTAAAAAAAAAACCCGTCGATTTGTAAAAAAGAAAGTGATATTTTATGCCAGAATGAATCTAACACCAAAAACAAATTCTCCAATAGTAGCTATTTCGATCCTCCTTTTCTTCAGACGAAAGAAAGCCTGAAGCTGTAAATATCTCTTATTAAAAAACATGCAAGAAGCTTGATGTTTAGAAATCGCTTCTTCTTCTTTTTTTTTTCTTGTTGAGAAAGTCAGCAGCATCGCATTCACCTCATTTTATTAAGCACAGTTTATTTTTATCGACTGTGCATCCGGATTTCCAGGAAAACGAGAACGTTATATAAGAAGTGTTTAAAATTCCTGAAAATCTTTAGAATTTTTGTTTATCTACAAATTGCACTGGCCTGAAGACACGTCAAATATTTGTAAACTCCTCATCCTAGCCACGTATATATATATATATATATAATATTTTAAAGTATTTATATATTAAATAATTAATCGGTGCACTCGCAAAAATGATTTCAACAGCGTATTGTTACGAATACCCGAAATTAATAGTGTAATTACATCTTCTACGATATTTTCCTCGGGGCAGTTACGAGATAAATCATATAGCCAAAATCGAAATTAAACTGATTTACTTAAATTTCATTACGTAACTCTCCAGTTACGTGTCATATTAATGTACGTTACCGAATTTACCCTTACTTCCAGCTACCGGTTACGCCGAACAATCTGTGGAAGAACGATTAAGCCGTTAAAGAAAACGTCTTTACAGAATCGTGCGATGTTACATCGCACGATTCTGTAAAGACGTTTTCTTTAACGGCTGCTTAATATCTGCCAAAGTAGAAGATAACCCAGATTAAAGACCCAACTTTAACTCCGATGAGTACAGTACGTGCTGGGAAGTAACGATTAGGTGGTAGAAACGAGAGTAGTTCTCCCGAGTGACGAAGCCAGATAAATCTTTCGATTATATAGAATGAATAATTTGTCGTCAGGCGATCGTACGATGGCATTTTTGTTATTTACCAGACCGTAGAGGCGTTAATGGCACCCACATAATATCCTCTCCACCCCACAGGGAACCATAAAGTAGCGGCTGCGAGTAATAAAACCCTCGTCGAGATATATACCTTCGTCTCATCGATAGTTCGATAGAGGGCGCTGCCCGGATCGCTCGCTAGCAGGAGAAAAAAAAATTCCAGACGGCGCTGCTGACGGCGAAAGAATCGACTCGAGCGACACGAACGCCATCTACAATTTTTGATAAAACCCGAAAGGGAATGAGATGTAAGTGACTAAAGGAAGAAGAGAAGTTAAGAAATTAAAAAAAGTAAGCGGCCACCGACGGACCGAAGACAATTCGAAGAGAATATCGAGAAAAGAATCAAAGAATGGTTACCGTTTTCGGTTGCAAATTGCGTTGCAGACGACGTTGATGGTCCCGAGATCAACTGAAGTAGAACGTTACGAATTTGTAATGTTTACTGGCATCGTTCTATCGTCCTCTTTTCTCTGGAGATAATTTGGAGAAGAAAAACGACGTCAACGTTTCCAGATTAGTGCATTATTTCCTGGACGCAAATTGAAATATCCATTTGTCCGAGCAAATGGCGCGGAAATTTTGTCTCTCCGTTAGAAAATAGGAACGATGTCGGTCTGGCCATTACGTCTTATCTATGGACGAGGCGCTTTCTTCGGTTCCAACGCAAGAACCAAACCATAAAAAAATTAATGAAATTTTTATCTCTCGGAAAATCTGATTTGTTAAAAAGTAATGGCAGTAGACTCTATAAAGAGCCCAAATTCCGCAACGACGTAGTTTCGATCGCTTCCGTCTCGTCGTCCCGATCCCGAAGCACAAGAGTTACGATGTCGGCCACAGTAACACGTTTTTATTTTACATTTTACAAAATTACTTGTTACTTTTACATTATCGTTGATACATTTCGCGTTACGATCTCTCGACATGCTGAAAAAACTAAAAATAAGGGAGAAATATTAATCTACAACAACGGAATTGTTCGATATATCATGATACTGTAAAAGAAAGTGCATATAGAAGTTAGCCAGAGGAAGATTCGATAGAAGAATCGACACTTTTCTCGGTGTTTACGTTACACTGGAGATATTTAGTGTTGAAATTTCATTTTCCAAAGCTAAAGATTGTAGAAATTGTACTGTTCGGTAAGCAAAAAACACTAGAAAAATAGGCGAATGTAGATCTAACGTCCACTCGTAGGGGTGGAGAACGGTCATGACTAAGTCGATAATCTACTCGCTACCGAATTTAAATTGGAATTTTCTCTAGCAGCTTCCATTTACGATACTCCAAGAGCTTTAATTACTTTCAATTTGATATGGCACCATTTTTTACTTCGAACAGTTCTTATGTTACGAGCACAATCGTTAAGGTTTATCAGTAAAAGTTAAAGGTTAGGTAAAGATAGAAACGAATTATATAGAGCAATTATTCTTTATTACAAACTATAGGCTAAATTTTAAGTAAATTTTCAGCTTCAAATTTAGAAAATTAGCATTATTACAATCAGTTATCGTTACAAAGAACACAAATTAAAATCATAGCGAAAGCTAATATACCGAAAATGATGGTAATCTTCAAACATGATGGGGAATTAACACATAAACGCCCAATTTCGAAACAATATAAATTGAATATGAACTAATTGTAGTTGAAATGATTTAATCTGTTTAATATAATTTGCATATAGACTAATCTGGTTGATGACATGACGGGATGATAATAACAGAAATCTCCAAACTACAATATTATAGATGAATCTGAGTTTTGTTTCATCGTTAAAAATATAGAATAATGTATATATTATATAATATTAAAATGGTAAGACGACAATTCTTTTAGGGATGTTTTTTGTGTTATAATAATGAAAATCGTGTAGAGGAATTTCTATGTTTTCTCGTTATGTTCCCGACTTTCGTACAGATAAACAAAGGGGTGGTAACACGTCTCGCTTGGTTACCTAACGAGAAGACAATTAATTATTTAACACTACCTATAATAAATTAACATATATTAAGTGTTTCTCATCGTTTAAAGGAACAGAGATCAATCAAATAATGTTCACAAACTCGTAAAATTCCTGTCACGTTCCCCTCCAAGCAAGTGTCCTACGTATTAAAGAACACGTTGTTTCTAGCACGACTTAGGTATTGTCGATACCGATACAAATTTTATACATTCATTAAATATGTATATTTTTTCATGTAGATCCACTAATCCACTTCGAATGGTATTAAGATTAATTCGAGTCGAGTTAATTCCACTTTAGAGAAGATCGATGTAGCAAGCTACACCCCTTCCTCACCAATTATCTATTTTATTATTTAAAGTATTATAGTTTGACGTTAATTCTACTCATATACTAAGTAAAAATTTCAAAATTTTTTGTGTAAAACTCACATTTTTTTAATTATAAATTAGTAAAAATAGTATACAAGATCAGACTTTATTACAGGTGAGTGAGTAATGAATTCTTGTTGATTAGAAATTTATAGTATTATGTGAAGTTGTATTGGATTTTTTTATATTATTTTCGAACCGAAACTCCATAAAATATCTCATTTAATAGCCCAGTGAACGTACTAATTAGCAGTAGATCTCATTGTCAGATCGCTTATAAGAATTACGGCCTCTTGATAGTTTGATTTAAATGTTACAATGGCGCGCTACTATATTGTAGAATTAAATTTTGTAGAACCTCGGGGAGCTCTTGATGAGAGTATACAACAGAGCGCATTAGAATCTCCAATGTAAGCTCTCACCTAGAAGCTTTTGATGAGGGCTTACAGTAGAAGTTCTTAATTTCTTCGTCAGTTACATTTTATGGATCGTACAAACAATAATTTAATGCTCGTTATCCAAAATTTTAATAAGATACGACCAACGTTTTCATTATAAATTACCGTTCAGTTAGAGAATTTCACGAAATTATCATCATCCAAACCAGATTTTCTATAAATAACGGAATATATCGCCAATTGATATCTGATTTTTTAGATAATTTCGAACATATGTCGTCCTCTGCCATATAAATTACATTATAAATTAGATAACTTTTAAGAAAATTCATCGATGATTGGCTAGAAATTGAAACGTACGTAGGTGGGAGGT